ATGATCGTTGGACATTTTCCAGAGCTGTTCTGTCTTTCTTTCTCAATTGGCTGTGAACGATAGTACAGTATTCCAGAGTCGGTCGTACTATTGTCTTGAATGACTCAAGTCGTGTTTCAGGCAGGGAGAAAGTACTGGTGATGTATCTGCATAGCTGCCTCGCTTTTGCAACCTGATAAAGCACATGTCCGGAGAAACTGAAAGTGTTGGAGTACATAAATCCTAACTCCCGAACAGAATCAGACGTTGGGATCACGTTTCTGGCAAGTGTGATAGAGTATAGCGGAATGCGGCACCTGTACTTGGGATTTTGCCGCCGAGAACTTCATCAACAAACGTTTACTAGCTATAGTTAATGCGGATGAGTCTCCACAGATGTTTCCCAAGCATATTTGTAGTTGGTCTGGATGAAATAAATAGAAACAGAAATGGGCGTCCGTGTTTGATCGAGTAGCTTATGTTGTTTACGTCGATTAGAAAACGTAGTGATTCGAGCACACTTCCCTGGAAGACGACGCTGGTTATTTGTTTTGGCGCAGAGTATTGCTGACCGATTCTAACTATCTGGATTTGATCGTTTAGCTATGAGTCTAACAAACTTAGCTGAGGGTTTCCAATGTCATATGATGGTAGAACAGAAAGCAGTGGCTTGTGCGGCACGCGGTTGAACGCCTTTTGCATGTCCAACAGAAGTCGGATGATTTTGATTCCTCTGTTAATCATAATCGTGACAAGATCGAAGAAATGTAACTGGCAGGCAACGCAGGAGCGTTTTGAAAGCCATGCTGTGAGGGATTGATCAGATCCAGTCTTGCAAGAAAATGGACAATGTTCCTCTTGACTATTCTCTCTAGGGCTTTAGAAGCAACAAAGGCGTGATTTACAAGGTGGTAGCTTGATATTTCATTTCGCGGGCCACCCTTGTGTATAGGCATTATAATGGATTGCTTTCAGCCGGTAGTGAGATGTTTATTTCCGCCGAATTTCATGATAGGTGGATGCCGTCTGGGCTTGGGCGAGTCGATGGTTTTAAGGATGTGATGACAGTTTGCACCTCTCTGCGCGGCATAAACGTACTACAGAGTAGCTCGTACATTCGGTTGGAAGTGAAGAATTAAACGGCTGAATGATAGGGACAAAACAAGAGGTAAAACTTGATAGCCCCGCACATGCGGGAGATGTCGTGCGTTCAAGAAGCATCGTCCAGGGAGGACACTTCAGTTTATTGACAACGTTTAGGGTGCCTTCTTTTGAGAAGTTGTGTCAATGTACGTACATGCTCAGAATTGCTAAGCAGCCGACTTTTTTGATTGTGGTAGTTTGGGTTAAACGCTGTAGCTGTAATAGTCTCATGTATTTGTAGCAATGTTGCGAAGCTGTTGCTCCTGCGATATAGTGATTTAAGTTTCTTCAGTTTGGTTGTGACTTTGTTTAGAAGCTTGAGTTCACTAATACATTCATAGATATTGCTCCATATGACAGGTGCCAATAGATCCAAACCAAGGACAAGATTGTTGATAAACTCATTTGTAGCCACAGTAGGATTATGAGTTAGGAATGACGTATTCCAATTCCTGGTACTGATAAGTTCATTAAATGAGTTCCAATCCACACGATGAAGGTTCTGAATGGGTATCAGCATTCTACTTGGTGGCTTAGGTGATTCAGTGGTCATATCACAAAGCACCGTGCTGTGATCACAACCCGGTAGTGAATGAGCAATGATTATATGGGCGGAAGAGATCCCCATCGTGAGTACAAGGTCCAGGGTAGTGGCACTTCTGGTTGCCTCTCTAACATGCTAGGTCTAGCCATTGAGGTGGACACATGAGATTATTTCCTCAATCCCCGCAATGTTTCTGAGTGTAGGTAGCATCCAGTTAATATGTGGTAGGTTGAAAGCTTCACACATAAGTTTGGACTTGCAGGTGGTGCTAAAGACAGCATTGATCACATGAATTAGCTTTTGGGTTTCACATTGAGTGGATCGGGGCGGCCGATAGATACAACCCACTAGAAGATCAGTAGATGGGACCAACAGTCATAGTGTATGTTTCAAGTTACTGAGCTCAGGTTGATCTGCGGGAATGGCAGTCAGATTATTTCGAAGGTATATGGGACACAGCGACCACCAGGTTTGTGAGCGATCTTTGCGGAAAAGTTTAAAGCCTAAGTTGTTAAGCAGAGAGTCACTAATTACCGCTGTACACCGTTTCAGTAATAGAATCAATATCGGGGGATCTCATAAACATAAGCGTTGAAAATATATCTAATTAAGGTAAAACAGAACGAATGATAACAACCACAGATTTGAAAGACATTGTTAGATTAGAATAAAAGAGGTAGGTAAGGTTTGTTTCTTCGTCATTGTAGCTAAGAACTGTGTGTTGTGAGATAGATGAGGCACACTGAGCTCTACATTGTGCAGGATTGAGTGAAACAGGTACTCCAGTAATTAGGTTATTCTCTGATTCATAATGGCAAGTGATAGTAGCTGGATTGGTGGAGGAGGACGTGGTGGAGTACGATAGCCTAAAAAGGACATACATTCGTAGTATACAGAGGCGAGGAATGTTAAAATCTATAAAGGCGTTTCTGTTTGGATTCTATTGCTGCCAATTTAGTAATAAAGAGGATAGTGGTGGGTGGGCTTCTATTTGAGGTAGATAGGGGTTGCACCTTTTTACGTGTAAGTCCGTGAGGCCTATCACCATTTTGTTTGCTATTTCGGTGTCGCAAACTAAGAGTTTCGCGAGCTTGAAGTTGCGGGAGTTGGATTCATAGAGGTACTATGGATAGATATTAGGCATGCTCTCTGCTACTTATCTCGATATCAGTGTCAATGTTGAATGTGGAAGCCTGAAGACGAACATATTTTCTAAGTTGGTATAGCTGGATATTTCAACATTCTTGCAGTAGTCTATACAGAACTTCTGAGCACTGAGTGTTTTCGAAAGAAATTCTAAGAGGTGTTTTCCGCTGCATTTGCCTACTCCTCGGTTAGTCGGAGATAAGCCATAGCTTACTTCATTTGGGTCGGATTTAGATTTGTTTTTCGGGATAGCGACATGACGATCTGAGTTTTGGTTTTGTTCTCGATAGGTCGCAGATAGAGCTACTGACAACTTCTGTAAAGGCTCGTGATTGGCAGAAGAGACAAAGGAGTTGGGTGTATAATCAGTAGATTACTTATGAGTGGAAGGATTTTTGTGAGTATTTTTGTTCGTCGCAGTCAGCCGACAATCCAGATGAGTCAACTACGTATCCGGAAAAGCACCAGACGGCCGTTTCGCCCTATTGGGGCTCGTCAGTGGTGCACATCCTTCGGTCCTCTACTGAGGATCGAACCCATGACTGCTAGTGGCTTGTGGCAACTAGCCCGCAGCTTATGCAACTGCGCCATGGAGGACGGTAGCCAACCATCACGAATTAATACCTAACTGCGATATAGCCCGACCCATCCTCCACTGCCATGCAGGCACCTGCCATGCAGATGACAGCGGTCGGCCTTCCGGTGTCAGGACTTCCCGGTTACGGCAGCTATGAATCAATTCGTGATGGTCGGCTACCGTCCTCCATGGCGCAGTTGCATAAGCTGCGGGCTAGTTGGCAAGAGCCACTAGCAGTCATGGGTTCGATCCTCCGTAGAGGACCGAAGGATGCGCACCACTGACGAGCCCCAATAGAGCGAAACGGCCGTCTGGTGCTTTTCCTGATACGTAGTTGACTCATCTGGATTGTCGGCTGACTGCGGCGAACAAAAATAATCCGTAGATGTCTCCTGAGTCGTTATATTTTCGGCTTTGTTTGCGCTTTGGGGTAGGAACACATCAATACTGCTGTGTGAGGACCTCACACGACGCCGCTGAAGACTGGAATACTATTCATCTATTCTAGACGACGTAGTTGACTTGTCAAAGTCGACATTGCTGGCGATAGCATCAATAATGGCTTCAATAGTAGGAATAAGGAGTGATCGAAGGTCTGGGCGGTTCGTTTCAGAACTAGTCGCCTTTGAAGAGGCGATTGATAGTGTTTGATCATAATGTTCTTGAAATTGGTTCGTGCGGCAATCGATTTTTTACTACGTAAGAATTATGACAGAAACTTTAGGAGTATCGGACATAAGGTCCTGTTTTCCTTTCTCCTCAGGCTGAGGCATTGACAGGAGATCCCATTCATATTGCACGCTATGAAAACAGTATGTGTTATTCTGTTGATGTTCGGTTTATCAGGTACGTTGAAAGTGATAACATTATGCGGTCTATGGAGGCGTTCTTGCGTTTCGGACGTAATTGAATTTAGTAAGAAACAAGCTATACACAATCGGTCTAGTGTAACATTTGCTGAACCTCTAAGCAGTTCACAGAATGATAGAACTTGATCATAGTTTGTGTTGAATTCATGAATTTTGCTTTTCAGCTTGGCTACTTCTTCTTCAGGTGCTGTAATACGACCTGTCCTTTCAGGCGTGGTTCATATGTGCACTAGATTTTTTGGAGTTTAGATGAAGGACGTCTCCTTTTCATAATAATAACGAGTGGAGTTATAGCAGTGGTACCAGTGAGCTTTATAGCGTTTCCTGGTTGAACATTTAGGTTAAGTAGGGAGCTCCTCGTTTCCACATTGCTAATAAGCATTTTTAGTGGGCACTCGAAAGTATGTTAAGGTGTTGGGCGTGCGGCTAATAAATATTAGGATTAAGTAGGAACAGAGCTACAGGAGGACGAGAAGAAATGACGTGGTTTTCACTACTATAAGCGATGCAAAACAACCGGTTTAAATTTCGGGCTGTTTTCGTTGGTGGGCCATATCGACAGTCGATTTGGAAAAAGGAGCCTTGAGCAAAGTAACATGACGCATTTGGGCGGTGAACACAGAAAAATAACGATTTATTACGCAATGCACCGTAGAATCATCCGATGGGACGTGATATGATCAGTAGCGAAACAAAGAAGGTGATAAAAGGAAACTCAAAGTGCTTTCAGTTACACACTCACTCAAGTGAACAGCTTCGATATGTCTTCGCAACACGCTCTTACTAGAATACGCTTTCGCACAGCGTCCACATATTTCCGGGCGTTGATCTGGGTTAGGAACAAAGTGATAAATTGCAGATGGAACATATAAGAAAAAGATCCGCAGAATAGCGGATGATCTGCATTATATAAATGACTTAAAGATAACCAATCAACCGAAGGATTTACCATGTGCAACAATGTCTGCATATAAGATATCCTGACGCAAGAAAGTGAAAGCTAGGGGATAGAATGCACATTTCCTATTGGTAATAATCGCCATACCATGTGAGATACTTGACATTCTACCTTAGTCGTAACAAGGAATTGAATCTCACTGGGACGATAGCAACCGAACCGAGGAACACGCATGAAGCGACCCACCGCAGAATCCGCTCAATCCACATCCGACCGACTGCATCGTTCGCCTTTCGGATCCAACCGATCATCCTGGGATACTTACTCTAATCACCGCCTTCTGGTTTCGTCTCCATCCACCTCTGATCTACTAAGCACAGCGCGTTTAAGCACCTAAAGTTGTCATTACTGTCCGACCCACTGAGCTTTAGCGCCACAGCATGTAACAGAATATACTCTTTCGGGATAGCTCCGTTCTGCACACCTCTACTTCAACAATACCCAGAGTAATGTGACCCTCTTTCCACCAAAAGCGATGTCGTGTAACTTCGTTCGGACTTCTGCCCTCATCAAACATTTAGTTCATAAGCTCATAATAATTATGGACCAGCGGACCCACAACTTAACGCTTACTGTTACTTCAGGTAGTATACCAAGTACCGGGATCGCAGTACCGTCAGTGACCATACGTTTCCCTAACTTCCCATAAATTATTAATGCAATGATGAAGATTGGCATTATAGTGTGAAAGACAAGAGAAATTAATTCACAGTCAGGCTAGTGGGCTACCACTGAAACGAGAAAGAATCAATGTTCGATAAGCGAGATCTGCTTTCTACGAAAAAACGAGAGGCAGCTACCACTTTAAGTGAAACTAGCCCTGAACACCGCAATCTTAGTTTCATAATTTGACTGATTAGAACAAGGATTGTTCTGTCGATGCCTAAACTATCACTCAGACGCGGGAATTCAGCCTTGGAAAACTGAACGACAATGTCGAAGACCGACTTCTCCGGTATTTCGTGCTGAGCGAACTAACGACAGGTTGTCAATGACCGCTCCTGTCGCAGCAAGTGATTGGGTCAGTTTTGGAATAATTCTCTCTGTTACCAGGGATTTAATCAACACATCCACCACAGCCGATCTAGGACATTATGTGCAACCCTGATTTCGTAATCTAATGAGTTTCAGGAAAATCTTAAAGTGAACAATGCAGCACAACCCTCAGACTTCGCTCGGTCACCCAAGGCCAGAATATTAGCTCCATTGTCCTGTTAAGTGTGCAGTTGACAGTTAGGGTGGTTGGGGGAGTAATTTTCAGCATAATTCCATAGAACGATGGTGAGATCGGAATGTGTCACAAGGTAAGGTGTACTGTTGTTAACTGAACCCACCCCACGTCTAATTTCCACACAATAAGCTATGGCTGGTAGGCAACACAGTAAAATGTCGAGACATCCCGCACTCAACCGCACTGTGGATAGACTCGGCCGGTGGCCGAGTGGTCTGCACGTTTGCTTTGCAACCATAAGGTCACTGGTTCGAATCCGCGTAGGGGTGGGCGTCCTCGCGGTATACTCAGCCCGCGCGCGACTGGTGGTGGTCGCGCGGCAGCGAAGCGCCGTTACGGCGTGTAAGCTGACACCTTTCCTTTCCTTTTAATACGGTAGTGAATAATTCAGTCACACTGTTGCAGTGATTTCTTATTAGCCAAATACCAAACTGTTTTCTATCAAGGCTGTGCGAACGATCCGCATCCAATCGTTTAAGGAACCCAGGCAGTAGGTTCAGGAACGCCTTCATTTACAGTCCAGTCAAATGAACCACCGAAAAGAGGTGGATAGAAAATCGACACGATTATTATTTTTGACTCTGTTTAACTGCATAGTGGTGATGAACATCTGCGTCGATTGCGTCCCCATCTACCGGTCTACTATTCAGTGTACCAGGCGCATGAAGGTTGCATTAAGATCACCCACAGAATCGGCCTGCCTTGAGACGGAATCAAGGATACCGGATCGGACGGACTTCCTCTGCTGCTGCTGTTCGAGTGAGGTAGAGAGCAACCGGTTAACAGGTTTGCCTATCAAGATATGGTGGGAAGGAAAGTATCCACCATAGTGGAGGGAATCGATTATCGTCCCGAGCTACAAGAAGGGTATCCGTACACTATGTATCAAGCAGAGCAGAATCAGTCTAATGTCGGTCGCCTTCAAGCTGTCGGTATCCATGATAAACGCATACTTACCACATTTTGAAAACTACACGCCCGGGGGGGATAGAACAGTTTCCGCGCAGAGTGAGCGAGTAGACCACAGGCTCCCCTTCGTCAACCCCATTGGGACCTGTCTAAACAACCGGGCTTGGTTCGGCTCGGCCAATCGACGTAGTTTATGGTATTGGTTGTGGAACAGTAGAGTAAGCGAACAGTATACTAGCACTCTTAATGAAGTGCACTTTAATATATCGGACAGATAAATAGTTTGCGATAAACTGCTCACCTTTCGCTGTTAGTAGCGGTGTAACATAGGGGTGTCCTATGCATACATTTCTATTTAAGTTGACGACTGGGGAAGTCCTATTGGGCGTACTGGAAGTCTCCCAAAGTTGTGGAGTACAGCTTCTTCCACACAGCCGCGTGATTGACTCAGACTAAGTTGGTGATATTACCTTGCTTGGTGAGAACTCCAGGAGTACGAAACTCCTAGATCGCTTGGCGAGCAAAGTAACGAAGTTTGGCATTATCCTTGCACCTTCAAATGCAAAGGCGGATTGTCAGGATTGTCGTCCATAGGATGAAAATTTAGAATTGTCATTCATATCTACCCTAGTGCTCGTTTTTAAAGGTACAGAGGTTGAGCAAAGTGGACAGCTTTGGCGGATGGCACCAGTTCGCAATGTCAAAGTGCGAAAAGCGTTCACCGATTTGAGACATCGGTGGAGTCGCTGATGCATATAACTCTCGGTAAAGGGCGAAATCAACAATGCCTGTGTTCGCGCGGAGCGAGTCCTGGCTGAATCGAGTGAAAAACATGTGTCCGCCTCCGCCGTCGGAGAACGAGTGTTTGTGGACGATAGCGTATGTGATAGGAACACCACGTTCACAACAACGATGTTAGAAATTTTCCTCTCGACCGGCTAGCAGCTGAGATGGGCTGGTCGCGTTCTACGCATTCTGCGCGAAAAAAAAACTATAGCGCGTGCTATTTCGTCGCAAATGACCACCCTGGAGGAAACAGTGCGGCGATCAGCTGGACACATGGTGAGAAAAACGTCAAAGCGTTGATTTCCAGTTGAGCAATTGTCGACCTCCTAAGAAACGGGGAGCCTGAGCATGAACAGCGCCGCTGGCTGGAAACACACGAGCGTATGGTGCTAAATACAAGATTGATGTAAACTTACGTATAGTTGTAATCTTTAAAAAGCACAGCCATTAAATGGAGAAAAAAATATTAGGCGGTTTGTGAAAAGCGCACAAAACAGTTACTCAATTTTCCGTGTGCTCTTCCATTTGCGTGCTCCGTATTAGTCACGCAGTGTTATTCAGTAGTTTGTGATAACTCTATGTCCATTTCATTCAACGTTGGAGCGGCCCATAGTAATTAATGTATTAAAAAAGGCGCCTGATAATTTATGTGCAAAAATGGTGTGAAGTCAGTATGTTGTCAATCCGAAGCAATTAACGCAAAAAATCGTAGCCTCGAGAACACACTAGTTGTACTCACTCATGTGAACAGTGCTTTCGTGGGCTCGTAGGGCGCTTATTTGGGAAAAGCGCCTATCACAGTGCTTGCATGTGTAAGGACGCTCCCCTGGAAAAGAAAACAGAACGCATACCAAAAATATTCATATCGAAATTCCATTAAACATTAAATAACTCCGCTCATTTCGAATAAGCAGGGCTGGTAGAAACACACGAAAAAAAAACAAAATCAATTGGAGGGTCGATTGTGGACTACACGTTGTGTCATTGGATTGCGATGTGCAAACCAAAATTCACCTACAGATCGCAAACATCACATTGATGTGCCTCTATGCAGTAAACCAAATAAATATGTATGATGAAGCAAGCAATAGTTATCAGTAAACAATTTAATCAGTGTTGTGAAACACCTTGGCGATTACAACGCAGTAAAACGTCACCAAAGGCTCGCAGAGAAAAGCCAGAAAACAAAAACGTACAAAGACAAGTGCGACGTGACCTTAGGTTTATCGATCCTTTTCGCTGTGAAATTCGTAATGTGACAAGCTCATTGCTCAGCCACCTAGGAAGTGCGTTACATTTGCCGAACTGCCGCGAAGGACTGTAGGTATACGGCAGCATTGTAAATAGGCGAAACTCTTAAGGGGAAAGTGCGTGTTTACATCAATCCCCGTCTGATATGCGAAAGTAGGGTGTGCTCGAGGCAAGCAGTGACAGATACATGGTAGGCGGCATCCGGTTTCGGATTTGCCTGTCACTGTGGCAAGCCACAGGACGCCTGCGCCTACAGAGGGACCATGGATGGCTTGCGCTGCACCACCCACAGCTCCAACCACATACCCCATATCCAGTGTAAACCCGAAGGAATAAGACCGGGAGGCATGCGGATGGGAACCACGTTTCATCAACGGAGCCGGCCCACACTCCTTCACAGGCAAACACAAGCACGCTGTATTTGGGGAATCAACCGCACACAAGGCGGTGGCTGGACCGTAGTCCGCTCCACACTGAGTGCATGGAACCGCTCTTTGAGCCTAGCACGGCCACAAGAACCGTGCACCCCGTCCCCTCCAGCAACGACCAACTGTCTCCTGGAGCCAGTATGAACGATGTAGTGGGTAATAGACAGGTAGGCACCTTGTCAACATACACATCAAGCGAAACCATACCAGGGATATCAAACAACAGCCATTCACTTTAAACGACAAGCTGAAATTAAATAAATCCAATAATGCATACAGATACGGTGGCATAACTCTTCGCTAAATTACCATATGAAGTAAGTTGGTTAGCAACAAATCCGTGATAAGTAAGAAATGTCCACAAGTTACTTAAAATGCTACAAACGCAACAAAATTACTGAAGATAAGCGCAATTAGTGTAAGCAACGTGGCCAGTTAGTAGAACATTATTCAGGGAGGCAGAACAAACCAAATAAAGCGGAATGAAATTTAGCCAGCTTAAAAAGACCTAGTTTAAGTGTAAGTTGGTTTAGCCCAACTGCGGTGAAGAAGCATCAAGAATGCAACATCGGCCTCAGCATGACAGCCTCAGCGTGACAGATACATACTCGTTTAGTTATCCTCATGGGCAATCCACTAGAAATCGTATTGCAGGATGGTGTAACAGTAGCGTGGACGGAGACAACGCCCGCAGGGGAAACGAGTATAGCACATGCGGCAGCGACCGGAGTGAGAAGACGCATGTTCAATTTGCTTTATCGACTACATAAATAGCACAGCGGCCCTGATCTTTGAAGCTGACAGCGATGAAAATCTAAAGTCAGAAGAAAACCTGCCAACAGAAGAAAATGTCTCAACGGGGAACCATCAACGACTTCGTTAGAGGATAGCTGTGAATGGTCATATTGCAGTGTCTCAGTCGGAATGCTACGAAGGTATTCGGTCAGTGGAGCGGTTTCCAAATGTACACAAGCTAATGGGCACAATGTAGGCAAAAGGGCGTGTCACATAACCGAGCGCTCAGTGTAAGAAAGGAATCGAGGAAGACAGTCAACAGATAGCATTTAGAAGCGATTAACCTGTCTCCAGCCAGCAGCCCATGAGTTTACACAGTCAACCAAATTCATAAGAACTACCTCAATCGCCCAGTATCACACTTCGGACCACCCCTAAGTCAAGGCTCACACGCGGCAGGACAAAGCAGGTCAAATCGCTGCGGAGGATGCACATTCCAATGTGGAGACACGCTGCCTTTCGCTGGATGGTGGAGTGACACGCTCACATCTCACTGTCCCCGCCCAACACTCGCACTTTGCTCACATGATCGTTATCAATCACTCTGTTGCAGTAATGCCCGATCAGTGCTATACCAAGTACTTTTCTATCGAGGTTGTGCAAACGATTTGGATTCAGTCGTTTGAAAAATCCAAATAATAGTACTAGAGGTGTGAACAATTCGCGCCTTCATTCACAGCTACCACAAGTTAATCAGCGCAAATTTGGGGACAGAAAATGGACACGTTCATCAGTTTTTAATGCTATACAATTGCAGTGATGAACAATATAAGCGCCAACCGCAGTTGAGCACCTAAGACTGTCGAATCGAAAAGGAGAAGCATGCGATGCCCAGTGTCTAAAAGAACGCAGCTGATATCACCAACTGAAAGAACGCACAGTAAGGAATCGGGGCTTTCGTCGCTACGATACAGCCAGGGTTACAAGTTACAGCCGAATGACGCAGTCTGCGTTGTACTCACTCAAGTGAACAATGCGTTCGTGCGCCCGGAGTGCGGTCCTTTGGGAAAAGGGCCTTTCGCAGAACTTGCATGCATGAGGCCGCTCTTCTGAAACAGAGAGAAACGCTGTGGTACACCGACCGAGAGCACAATTAGGCGGAAGATAGGTGACTAACTACCCGATGATGAGGAGGCAAATGACATCCCAACGTGTCTTCTAAACTCACCGTCGTTTTCTCGTGAAAGACACCATAGCTTATAGAGTCACTGAGATGTCCGCGTAATACTGAAGCAGTAAACAAGAGCGAAGATCTACCAACTAGTTCACGGAGGTACGTGCAAAGGAAGCAGTGTCTACTGCTATTGCATACATGGTGTCCAATTAGATAAGTGACGCCACTACATGCTCACTCGTCGAACAATGCAGCGCACAGCCGTCCAGAAACGCAAACGATGCGTACTAAACACGTGACTCAGACTCCACACAAACGGTAAGCTGCTAAAAAAGCGCGTCTCGAAAAAACCACCTCTAGAAATACAGGACGAACAAGAATCTCCTGACAAGCGTTTTTCGTGTAGAAAGTAGCAAATGTCCATTTACATATTGTGTAATGGAACGGATGTGACTCGCTACAAGTAAAGCCACTGCCCTTTCTTTAACCCAGATGAAGCATCGCATTCCGGCAAACTCGTACTGAAATTGTGGAGAGGATCGGACCCCCGTTTGACAACTCGCCAAATCGAAGACGTGTGGAATCGAAGATCGGTCACCGGCTCCCAACGGGCGCGATTCCCTGACGTCGTTCAACTACCTCACAGGTAGGCTACCAAGCCAAGGTCTCGGAGTGGTGACCCCTGAGTCAACAACCTATTTGATATGGTCAACCACGGAGTGCCACGGCCTCTGACGAAACCGTGGATTGCTCTGAGTTATGTTAGGTTTGTTTCACGATACTTTTATCCTCCTTTGAATTACATGGATTTTGAGGACTGTAGTTTTATCCCCAGATGATTGGAAACGGATATCCAAGTGATCAAGTGATGAGGAACACCACAGCTATTGTGCCAAAATACAACAGTGACACATCCGTAGCAAATATGCAAAAATTAACAGGAAAAGAAAAGCGAATAAGAAGATGGTGTGCTCATATAGTGCATCCGGAATGTCTTCATGGTTGGAGGAGGCCGAGTGAGAGGAGGGATAAAGGAAATCACAACAAAAGCACTTGGTCTAAAAGTGTCTTCAAAGAAGCGTGCTCATTGTTTAAAGGGCACCAAGCATGAAGACGAGGCTCCAGTCACAGTTAACTAAGAAATGATGGCTTCGTTTATCTTAACCAACGCATCGACAGTCCAGTCTCCAGTTCTTCTATCCGGACTCCGACTGCGCAAACAACTCACGTCACGGGAGTCGGTATGCTGAAATGCGTAACACACGACCAAAAGCCTCGTGCGTGATATAACGGTGCTGAGCGGTTCACTGCATGCGCGCTGCAGAAGACGTCGAACACGCTCGTTGTTGTGTTCTCACTAGACGTGAGCTAAACTATGCGGTGGTCAAATTCAAGTATCCTTTTTATGTCTGTCACACAGTAGGGTTAAACGGAAGGCGAACCTGCAGATTCAATCCTTCAAGGCAAAATTGACGTCTCGTGACGCAGTAAGTGGTGAAGATTAGCAAAAGCGCGCCGACTCTTTCTGCTATTCCCACGGACATCACATTCAAACACACCGCTGCCGCGTAGCAAGTTGAACATTTCGATAGGCTGTACATGATTCACACCGTAACTCAAAGCAAGAGCTGATCCCCGCTAATCCTGGAGCGAAGGCTTACATTTCGAGAGTGCAAAAGGTAACCCTAAGCGATCGCTAGCTACTGCTACTTTGTTTAGTGCCGCAGCCAAATCAGTAAACACTTGCAGATTAGGACAGTCAAAAAGGCATTCGCTGGGGATCAGCTCTACAACTTCAAAGTCGGGGAAACTTAATTTCGGGAACCTCGTTGACAACGAGGTAAAAGACTAAAGGTGGAGAGTGCATCCTTGTTTTACACCGCTGGAAATATTGAAGGGTCGTGATAGATTGCTGTATAATCATCAATAGCAGTACATCAACCATTAGAACTGATGTTTCGTTGCATTACAACCAGAACAACCTAACGTAAGAAAGATAACAAGGGGGAGAGAAGAGGGACCTAATGGATGACCTTAATGCCCTAAACCAACATTCAGCGTCGAGGCGCCTATACATTGCGTAAACAACAAACAGCCGAGAATCGTGCAAAGATAATGCGGAATCAGCGATACATCTTCCTTGCGGCCTTCACTGCTCTGCGCCAAAATCATCCATTGCCTCGCAGATAACTCAGCACCAAACGCACTTTAAAAAGGTAGTCCGACTAGGAGACGGCAACAGTCAAGTCACTGGTACTAACTGCGAGCCATGTCTTAAGCCAAGCACAAGGTGAGTCACGTGCACTCAAGCCTGGAAGGCAAGACGGACCAACGGCACAAAGTTTAGTCGTCAGGAACTTAATTTCCCGCTACCAAGTTAACTTTCATCCATGTCGAGCGTTGTGCCATCCCACATTTGACAAACGAAACAAGACCGTCTTCGGTAAGCGGTGACGAGGCATACGTAGTACGTGGCTAAGCCAACGCAACCTATTCAGTGCTATCTGTTGCTCTAAGGAACTACCTTGGTTATCACTAACATTCGCCAACGCACATCATCGTTGCGGACACGCTGATGCCATGCGACACCAGCAATGCTACGCATACAGCGATCAGAGATTCAAATCCTCAGATTGAAGGGACCAAGTTTCACTACCATAGAGTAGGACGGCTCTCACTGTGGCCTTGTATACACGGCCTTCTAGACCAAGGGAAACCCGTTCATGACGCCAAAGATATCGTAGATCCAAGAAGGCGGTTCTAGCTTTCGCAATACGTGAACTCACCTCAGTCGTTATGCGCCCATCGTTGATGATGCAACCGCCAAGGTAAGTGAATTGATTAATTGCCTCAAGTTTCTCGCTGTCAAAGATCAAGTGGTCATCAAGTGGCTGGTGGTCCTGCAATAGCACTTTGCACTTTGAACGTGCGAGGCACACAAAAAATAATGGGACCGCCCTAGAGAGTTTACTCAGAGTGAATTCCACAGCCCCAATACCGTTAACAGCAAGGCAATATCGACTGCATAATAGAGATCAACTAAAATTCACTAGGCACCACAATGCCTGCATCGTGAGATTATGCAAAGGAACACTCCATGACGAAGTTGGACAAAAGTGTGGAAATTCGACAATCCTGACGAACGCCACTTGTTATCGGAAAGGTATCCGACAGCTAACCGTAGACCCAGACGAGGCAGATGTGTTCGAGTATAAAGCACGTAAAATGTTCACATATTTCGTGGGCACACTTTACTTCACAAGGACCTAGAACAAGACGCATCTAACGGCTAAGTCGAACGCACACTCATAGCCGAGGATCGCAGATATGGTTTGGCTACAGTATGCGTGCCGCAGCTCTAGCACCTGCCGCAAAGTGAATATGTGGTCAATACAGCCACGTCCTTGGTGGAAAACTGCCTGCTGTGCCCCAATCCGCGATCCCCTTTCCATAGAGAGGCGACAAGCAGAAAATGAGGCTAGTGCTTTTGTCACAACCGACGGTAGGCTAATACCCTTGTGGCTGGCACAGTCGGTGCGACTGCCCTTCTTGTATACTGCCACAATAATAGATTCACATCAGTTAGCTGGGACAGTTTCCTTCTTTCATGCATGTTCGAACAGATAAGTCAATGCTTTGCAAAAGAACCTCACCTTCATCCTTAAATAATACAGGTAGGAGAGAATCCAGGTCAGCGGCAAGAAAACGATTGACTGGATTCACGATTCGGACCTCAGCCTCCGATGGAGCCTCTAAAGTAACCGGCCACGGCACGTCCTGCATCACCTGTGTAGGAAGAGGTCCGGAGCAGGCGATCAACCGAACTGATCTTGAAAGTGTTCCGCCCAACGAGCCATAGGGCGATCCTTATTGTGTATCGGTGAACCCGCGATGTCCCTGATTGTTTCACTTACGCCTGGTTTCCTGGGAACAGTGGTGCGGATTAGCTGGAAGAGCTTGTGGTAATTGCCTACTGCTCCTGCCTCTTCCATTTCTTGAGCCCGACTGGTCCACCAGGATTCCTTGTCAGCACACACGATCCGCTTTAGTTGGCGCCTAATAGTCCACCTGGTCACACTGCTCAGAGCCAGCCGGGAGTTTCCTTATGGATTCCAACAGGTTTACCGACCCCTCGGATAAACGGTGACTGGTGCGGTGACGATTGATAGTGCCACAAGCAGATGCTTGTGCGTCGTGCATGACGTCCGGGATCCTATTCCATTAAAGCTCAGTGTCATCAGGAAAAGACAGCAGAAGTTCAGTACGCAGTGCGTCTTTCTAGGCTAGCCTGACCGAGGTCAGAGAAAACTTCACAGATGTCAATCGAGGGCGAAGCTTGGTGCGCCACCCAGTAAAGTTCATAGAAAAACGACAACGTACCAAAGAATGATCAGAGTTGACGCACGTACTTCAGAACGAGTGACAATCCAGGACGGAATCACGCCATATGTAACCTATGGCGATGTGATTTATTTGGGTTCATGGTTGACCAGCCACATGTGGGCTTCAAGTGGCAGTTCGGCACCAACAGTGTCTGAAAGCAGTGCTACTAAGAAACAGCTGGTACTCGGCGCAAAGTTACGACAGACGCTCAACGTTGTACGTACGGTCGAAGCCAATAATTGCCACCTACCTGAGCTTCTGAAGAGCCCAGACGATATACTTGTGCATTCACACCCCCCGTAAGTACTCTGATACCTGAACTGGTAAGACTACGTAGCAGCGTGTTCATTCCGTGGTGGAATGTGTCCCTGCCAGCATCAGAACTGTAGTCGGTGGGAGTACAAGCTGAAACGGCAAAAAAACAGTGGCTTGTAGAACCTCATAAATCGATCTCAATTGATGTCGTCAAACGGGTTGCACACAAACGGCTGTTCACCGGAATCCAACCAACGAACGATGACTCAGTCTTGAAGCTGAGGATATATACCCCAG